CCCCCCCCCCCCCCAACTAGTGCCTTTATAGAGCACTTGAAGTTATCCTTTGGGCTGTATCTGCATATTCTGTTCTTCATCTATTCAACTTATGAAATTAGACTACTTTTGTAGTGGCTGGAGTTTGAAATCTGGTTAAAGACAATTATATTACTTGCTTTAATTAAAAATGAATCATTTGAGGCCATTTTAACTTGTTTGACAGAACAGGATAAAGTTTCCTGAATGTCTCAAGAAGCATTATTACAAGTGTGAAAGGCAAGGATTTTTTTGTGTGTACTATCTTTCATAGGACCAGTGTGTAGTAGTTGTGAAAGACCTTTTGGGCATTAAGTGCTTTTCCTTAGGCTGGGAAAGAAACTGACACAGTTTGAGCTAAATAACAGGTAGACCCAATGGCTTGTATATAACTCCACATGTAAATGGAAAGAGTCATTTCAAGGAGTGAAGGAGGGCTGTAAAGAAGGAGCAAAGGTGGACTTTTGAGAGGTGGCCAAGGATTTCTTTGGCCATTCATTTCAGTTCTGTTATTGGTGTTTCTGACTTGTGATTCGGAGTGGTCTCCTTTTACATAGATTTCTGATTCTGTTATATAAAGTGTTTCCTTGATCCTGTCTTTTCTCCAAATGCCTGTTGCTTTGCCAGAGCTATACTTGGTGCCCATTGTGCATTTCAGCAATAATCAGAAAATCCAAATCATGCTTGTTAAACAAAAGACACCTATTTAAAAAGGTAGACTCTGTCTGTGGGGCAGAGTTGGTGTACTGTGTAAGTGCATAAGCCTTGTCCTTACATCAGATGAGTCCTTCGTTGACTTTTAGGTTACTCTTTTGAATGAACCTACACCATCTTTAATGGAGCTTTCTGCTCACATGAGGCAGCCAAGGCTTCTATAATCAAGTTGCTAAAACATAGAGCAGAGAAGCCTTAAGCTGGCATGAAAAGGATGCTTCTGTTGGAAAGGCAGAGGTCTCTAGAAACCTACAAGTAATGGTGGGGGACAGAGGAGGGGACGGGGAATCCTGAACTGTCTGCCTGTTCTACTCTGATGATGGTGGGCAAAACTTATTTCTTCACCCATTACAAATAGATAAGGGATCTTAGCTGAGTATTCTTTCACTGGAGTTATTTTTACGTTGGGCATGCACATGTATGCATACTTTTGTATGTCTTATGAAGCGGAGTTTGGTCCTGTGTTAATACTTTTCTAGAAAATATTGTTTGAAGGGATATCATTGGCTTATCTCTTGTCTACTTTTTCCTATTTAGTAGCATTTCAGTTAAAAATATTGTTCTAGAATCTTAAGTTTCTCTGCATTTGTCAGAACCCTGTGCAGGCAGTATCACTGTTTTCCATGATGTGTAAGTTATCTATTACCCTTCTTGGCTTTCACACGGAGATGAAAGAACACATTAAAATGTAAATATATGACTGTGTTCTACTAATTTTTATGCCCTTTCTTTATAGGGAAAGGTAGTATCACTGGAGCTAGTTTGAATTTAGAATTGGCTACATTTAAAGTTGATGGGTCTTGCCAGAAAGGTGCTAATGCAGTTTCCTTAGCCAGTGCTGACAGAACCTTGTATGAATGATAGTGTAAATCCTGTTGAGAACAAAATGTTTTGCCTTGACTGAAACCAACAGTAATCCTTTTGGATGCTGGTAGGAATATGAGTAGGGCCTACATCTGCCAGTAAGTGTTTTATGGCTTTCATGAAATAGCTTGCTTTTTACATTTCTCACGTTGGTTTAGTTTAAAAATTCTGCGAAAAGAAATAGCAACTACTTCGTTTGTTAAAATAATCAAACAAAATATTTTTGAATACATTGGTCTGTTTGCATTTGGAACACAGGAATTTAGAGAAATGTAGAGCAGGAATGCACCTGAAGAGGTCACCTGTGCTAGTCATCTGATCTGGGGGATAAGTAAAGCTAGACAACCTCTGAAAGATGTTTGCTTAACAACCTGTTCTTAAAA